ATCAAGAATAGACGAAAATATGAAATCATTGTTATCATGGAAAGAGTAATTAGTACTAATTCCATGAGTCCATATATTGAAATTATACTCAATATAAAAAGTTATTGCAGAATTAAATTTCATGCTTACTTAGATACAGGAAGTACAATAAGCTTATATTTACCAAATCTACTACCATCTGAATATTGAAAAATATAATTCAAAGAAAATAGTTACCGCTACAACAGCAGGTGGAAATAAGATAGAATACAACAAATATGCTACGCAAGTACCTTTTCTAATTTCCTTTAGAGAAGTATTTATTGATACAATATATATGTCAAACACAATTGGATGTGATATTTTATTAGGACGAAATTTTCTATTAAAATATGCACCATTTACACAATATATTGATAAATATATGTTCACATTACCCTGTGCACACAAAATATTTACACAAAAAATGAACAAGGTTGTTATAATAGCATATAGTGACATAAACCATTAGAGTTCCTCAACCCAGCGTGGTGGATGTTGGAGTACAGAAAAATTTAAACCAGTTACAGTCCTAAAAATGACAAAAGAAAATAGGTTAGAAAAATTGAAAAAAGAAATTCCGGAAACATATTTTGAAAATCTTTTAGAAAAATGGAATACAGGCAAAATAAAAGTAAAAATAGAATTAACCAATCCAGACACTATTGTTAGAGTCAAACCCATGAAATATAGCGTAGATGACCAAAATGAATTTAAAGACCAAATAAAAGAATTGCTAGAAGCCAAACTGATTAGGCCTAGTAAAAGTCTACATAGCAGCCCAACCTTTATGGTTAGAAAACATAGCGAGATAAAAAGAGGAAAAGTCAGGATGGTGATAAATTATAAAAGGCTAAATGAAGTTACCAAATTTGATGGATATTACTTGTCAAATAAGAACACGCTTATTAAGCAAGTAAAAAATAAAAAGATATTCTCAAAATTTGATTGTAAGTCAGGTTTTTGGCAAATCATGCTTATAGAAGAAAGTAAACCATTAACTGCATTTAGTACGCCCAATCTTTTAAGACAATACGAATAGAATGTAATGTCATTTGGGTTAAAAAATGCACCACAGATATTTCAAAGAAGAATGGATGAGGTAATTAAACCAATTACTCATTTTTGTATTGCATATGTTGATGATTTACTTATTCATTCAAATAATATTAATAAATATATTGAACATTTTGAAAAATTTTGTTATATTATGAAAAAACATGGTATTACACTTTCTCAAAAGAAAGCTGAAATAGCTAAAAAAGAAATAGAATTTCTAGGATTATTTATAAAAGAAGGAGAATTGCAATTGCAATCTCATATTGGAGAAAAACTTCAAGAATTTTCTAAAAAAATCAAAAATAAAAAATAATTATAAAGCTTCCTTGGTATATTGAATTATGCTGAAAGATTCATTGAAAATTGTGCCAAATTAAAAAATTATTTTCTTCCAAAGTTAAGAAAAAATATAATGTGGTCTTAGGAAAAACAAGATTGTGAAAATATAATAAAGATGAAAGAAGAATTAAAGGCATTGCCCAAACTTATAATTCCACAGGAAGAAGATTTCTTTATCCTTAAAACTGATGCTTCAGATAATTTTTGGGGAGCAGTATTAAAGATTAAAAAGAATTATAAAGAATATAAATGTAAAAAGAATTGTTCTTATCCTGAGATACTTGCAGGTTATACGTCAGGAACATTCAAAGAAGTTGAAACTAGATATGAGACGAACAGGAAAGAACTCATTGCTGTAAAAAGAGGAGTTCAAAAATATGAAAATTATTTATTACAAAAAAAGTTCTTGATTAGAATTGATAATACTCAAGTTAAAGTTTTTTTGAAAAATAACGTTGATTCATCTATTACCAATAGATATATTATCAGGATACAAATTTGATTTTCATACTTCAAATTTGATATTGAATATATTAAAGGAAAAACTAATTTTCTTCCTGATTATCTCAGTAGGGATGAAGTTAGAGTAACTAAGGACGAAAGTCCAAATACTTGAGATAAAAGTTTCCTATTTGGAAATACAAATTCAAAATATCCAAGATAGCCTTCAAGGCAAAAATATAACTCTTGAGACAGATGTAACTTGTACCAAATCTAGTATCCCTTCACAAGGATCAGTAAATATTAGCGCTCTCCCCGAGAATAAAGGGAAAGAGAAGAAGGTAATAGGAACCCCTTCATAGGGAATACTTCAACCTATTACTGGTAAAGAAGATATTCAAAATATCAAAAGCGAAAGTAGTTCTTCACAGATCCAAACTAAATCTAAACTTTCTATTGAAAGAATAGACCTAAAAGATATTGTCAAAATATGTCATAAGGCAAAATTTATCAGAAAAGATAACCATGAAGAAGTCATATTCTTTATTGTTATTTTTAATGTTCTATCAGATTGGTATCTGGAGATTGAAAAGTGGATGAAGACTCTCCACTATTCAAAATACAACAAGATAAACTTCTATCCAGGAGCACCAGCCAACTGGGTATGAAACTGTTTTGAGATAGGAAATATATTCTGTATATATCACAGCAAAGATCTCAAAAAAATAGCCCAACTTCCAGCCAACGTCAGAAAGGCTGTTAAAAGATATACTGAAATCGTCAAAACAACAAACATATACATTAGATTCCATTCAACAACTATGGAATGGGATTCCGTTCTTGAATATATGCATCCATCATTCCATGTTATCAAAATGGGACTTACAAACCAATATTTTTTACCAACCAGTCAAAATGTTGTTAAAAATGGATATCAAGATATTATAAATATGATGCCCTACAGAAGAGTAAAATGATACAAAGAAATATTTGAGCACGTAACCCAGATAATTATTAAGAAAGAAAAAAATATGGATTTATCCATTTGAAAACCATATAATTTACTTCAATGCAAGGATGACTACAAAGGAAGAAGACATATGTTATCTTGACCATCTATTATCCTCAATTATCTCAAACCAAATACATGGGTCAGAAGATATGACGAAAGAACTATGCAAACTACTCTAAAATTACAGTGACCACCATTATGAATACTGTGTAGTGGAAGATATGAGTCAAGCATCTCTCAACAGTGAAGAATTCCCTGTAGAATTCTTTGATTCGAAGATGGAAAAGTGATACCGACAAAAGTGACCATTTATCACTACTTTAATAAAGAAATTTATTAAAGAAAGGAAAAGTGATACCGACAAAAGTGACAATTTATCACTACTTTAATAAAGAGATTTATTAAAGAAAAATTGTGGCTACTAAAAGACAGAAGATAATGCAAGAAAGTTTCCATAATTGTGATCACTCACCTACCAGTTGTCAAAAGTGGAAGACAAATTCAAAGATAAGGCAAATAATTTTAAAAGGAGAGGTTTACCTAGCAAGAAGATAATGGGGAAATCGGTGGAGATAAGACTACTGAGCTATCCACCAAAAGAAAGGAGGATACAATTGTCAAGATAAGATTTTCAAAACCTTCTATAAAAGGGGGCAAGAAGAGAAGGGAAGGCATCTCGAAACAACTTATCTCTAAAACAATCTGAAGAAACACATCTCAAAATTTTTGTAATATGTATACACCACTTGTATTCAGAAAAAATTTAGATAGTTTGAAGATAGCAAAACTTGTAATAAGATAATCACTTATGGAGTTCTAAATTTCATAAGGTGAGTACCAAAAGTATGTAAATATCGATTGTAGGCATGTACTATTTTAGTTTATGAATATTAAAGTGAAATTTGTTATGTTTAACAAAACTTTCATAAAATGATTTCGTTAAGTTTCTCATGATTCCTCGACAGTACAGATAGAGATTTTAAAAGATTTTCAAAATATTGATTTTGAATGAATGTTAGCCATGCCAAAGTACCCGTATTTGATGAATGGTTTAGGAGAAAAAAAGACAAATTTCTAACAAAATCATAGCACCTTGTGTGTGAGTGATCTTTTAAAATTTCATTTCAAGTAAGAACTTGATTCTGAAAAGAGTTTGAATAGAGGTGAAAACAGAGACTTTGAATACTGTGATATAGCGTCTGTGGTAACACAGCTAGTTCTCTAGAATGAGAAATGCAACCTTAATTGAAAAGCCTTTTGCGGAAGCGGTTGTGGACCCAAATGAAAAAACTTTTACTTGATTCAAAAGATTGATTAAGTACATGCAAATCATCTATAAAAGTATACTGGAGGGAAAGCCTGTTTACTTCTATTGGATTACTATAAGTTATTTACTCGCTCTTACATGCTTATGTTTTGATTAATTTTGATGAACACTTTACAAGCATCCACATCCATTTCTAATAGTGATAATGATCCCAAATTATATTTAGATGAGAAAGATATTTCGTTTTTATTTAAATTAACTGAAAAGTCTGAAGATATATTTTCTGTTGGCAAAAAAAAATTTGAAGAAATATATCTAGATATAGATTATTATTGTAATCATAATCTAAGAATTGATTCCATAGGAACTAGTAGAGAAATAAAAAAAGGTAGAAGATATTATAACTAAATATAAAGATATACAAGAAGAAGTTTCAGAATGAATAGTTTTAGGATACATAACTGAAAACGATCAGCCTAGAATCTTTGAAGAATTATCAAAATACAGAGAATATTTAGAGAAATTAGGAAGAATTGTAAGATATAATCCTGAAAGACCTAATAATTAAAAGATATAGGATACATCTTACAAATAATAAAAATAAGGGTAAAATAGTAATTTGTCTTATAAAGGCCATTGTGAAAAATAGAACTAATTTTTCAGTCATTCTGAAGGTTACCCCATTGGAATGGAGGTGATCAAATCATTTTACCCCCATTCCCGCCTCTGTTTCCTAACTAGACAGGAATGCAAAGCCGGGCAACGCAAGAAGGGATATACTCGAATCATTTTGTCATGCTTAGTCTAATCACTTACGGAATAATTAAATAAAACTAAAAAAAAAAAAAAAGCGTAGGTAAAAAAAAAGAAGAAGCAAGGGTATCAGATTATTTACCCTTGTATCCGATTGTATATAATAACCACACTTTCCTTTTTCCTCTTGATACAAATCGTTGCTCTCTCCCTCTACGAGTTATTGATCCAACGGAGAAAAGAAAATGGCGGATCAGCTGACCGACGATCAGATCTCCGAGTTCAAGGAAGCTTTCTCGCTATTTGACAAGGATGGCGATGGTCAGCCCTCTTCTTCATCCCATTGTATTTATGTCTATATATTTATATTTTCTATGTAAAATTTTTGAGGTTTTTTCGATCTATTATGAATCTGCACGCATATCCGTGTCTAGATATTTGTAATATAATGTGAATTATTGCTGGGTTTTTGATTTATTACGTTTCTATCGGCATGTATATGTGAATTTTCGTTGGGCTTTTTGATCTGTAATGGTCGGATCTACTTGCTGGTTTTATATTATTCATCTGATTTTGATTTGTATATATGGGTCTCTCTGTTTTATTTTGCCTAATCTAATTCCTGTAAATTGCTCGACTTCATTTGGTGTTTCTATGCATGTGATTGTGTGTCTGATCTGTATAAAATGTACTAGAGATATCCTGTACCTTGCGAGATGCCCTGTTTATGAATTTGTAAATATACGTGTTTTTGTATTTTTTTAACAATTCACTTGATTTTTTTTCTAGTGGATACGATTGGATTTGAGGTTTTTTTTTTTGGTCAATGCTTTATGTAATTAAAGTTGATTATTGTGAATGAGACGGAGGGATCCTATGGGTTCTTACTCAATATAATTTGACTCCAATCCTTGTCATTCCTCGTGACTGTATGCTGAGACCAGCGGCAAAAGTGCAGCTTCTAAAGTAGTCGGGAGTACATGTAACGATCCGGGTCTCTATACCCAAACTGTTCGCTTTGGGTGGGTCTTGCATTCACTTACCCCTCACGATTTTCTATCGTGTCTTTCCAATTGGTACCAGGATTCAACATAAGTCTTATTTAAGGGTAATGTTATAAGTTCGAATCCTGGGAGACGTGACAGAAAGTCGTGAGGGGTAAGTGGGCACAAGGTCCACCCAAAGCGGACAGTACGTAAGCTAACGGCTTGGGTATATAGACCCGGATAGTTACAGTACATGTAATTATGGTTATATTTTTGTAATGGAATCTGTGATGTATTTTAAATCAAACTATTTGGTAACTGTAGTTGGATTTTGTGGCTAAGTAATCAAATTAAAGATTATTTGTTGCTGCTCATAAACGCATTGAATGTTTGATTGCTAAAATTTTAGCATTGATTATCTTGATTGCCTTTGGTTTAATAGAACATCTTTTCTTATGCCTTTTTTTTATTATATTAAAGACCTGAGAAAATAAATTTTTTTTTTTTGTGAATAAATCTTTACGTAACTTGTAACATTCTTTTGAACGAGTATAAACTTCAAAATTTACTTAATCCACATTTCCAAGTAAGAGTAAAATCAATTTGTATTTTGTGAATATAAACAATTTGCTGATTTTCCTTTAGTAACTTGCCTATGCATGACGTGTGTAAAACAGTGATCCGCACACATTGACCTAATTATTGTCTGAAGTAAGCTTTAATGCATATGTCTAGCATTATTATATTGCTGTTGTCATCTTTTAATTGTTAACTCTTATTACCTTAGTAGTTTCTATGTATTTGTGGCGCTCAGTCAGTTTGAATGATTTATTTTTATTTGTTAAATATATACATATTACCCCATGTTACAACTTCTATTGTTATGAAATAATTCTTTTTCAATTTTTGTTTGTTATGGTAATAGAACTTGTGCATAAACTAATTTTAGCTGTATAAGATGTTGGTATGATTTTCAGATTATTTTATAGTTGCTTGTGAATTCTATGGCAGGTTGCATCACTACCAAGGAGCTTGGGACTGTGATGCGCTCTTTGGGTCAGAATCCAACGGAGGCTGAGCTTCAGGATATGATCAATGAGGTTGATGCTGACGGGAATGGGACTATTGACTTCCCAGAGTTCCTCAATTTGATGGCCCGGAAGATGAAGGACACCGATTCAGAGGAGGAGCTCAAGGAAGCTTTCCGGGTTTTTGACAAAGACCAGAATGGCTTCATTTCTGCAGCTGAGCTTCGCCATGTTATGACGAATCTAGGCGAGAAGCTCACTGATGAGGAGGTCGATGAGATGATCCGTGAGGCCGATGTCGATGGTGATGGGCAGATCAACTATGAAGAGTTTGTCAAGGTCATGATGGCCAAGTGAGAACCCAACAACACAAATATAAATCTTTGGAAGTATTGAGAAGATCCCAAAAAGGAAAAACGGCAGTTAAGTTTGACAATTTCTGTTGCTGGTTAGGATGTGGTCTTCTTGCTTTATTAGCTTTGTTTTGATGGTTGCCTGATTTCTTGTTTGTGTTTTTTTTAAGTGACTTGTTTTAAGTAAAAGCTTGTGTGCTAAGTCCTTTGTTTTTGTAGTTTGGATTGTTAGTATCTTCTTTCTTTTGACATTTGGTGTTACGAACTTGGAGCAATTGGAAAACTTTGAAATTTTTTCTATCAGCGACTATATTTGTTGACAAGCTAATTTGCCAACTATGTTACTATCCGTTTATTTAATAGTTGGATTCCTATAGTTGTGATTGCCTGTGTTCGGATATTGAAAGCGCAACATTAATAATTTTGCATACTGCTGTTATACAAGGCATGTAACATAATTTTCCAGCTTAGTTCTTGATTTCCCACCAGCTGATGTGCATGCCGAGGGTTCTAGTATTTGTTTCTTTTTCTTCAGTGCCCGAATACTTTCCCTTACTCAACAAGCCGTTAGTGCATATGGAATGTGTACGTGTTTGGCGTCCTTTTGATTTTGGTCTCCCGTGCGTCTTTCCACAAGAATGATCATCATCTAGAGGAGCCTTGTTCTTTTCACTTTCTATTTGTTTCACAAATCAACTAAAATTTATTTTTGAAAAATTGTAGGACCCCATTTTCTACCAGTTCTGCAACCAGCCTTGTCTGCTTGCCATGTTGGTCCCATCCTGTACTTTCCAGGCTTGTTTTACACCTCAAATTCCGAGTAATGAACGTAGGCACACCTTGTTCGAGGGGGCTATAGACAGTTCCCTGAGATTCATTCTATTTGGTACTGATGCATTTGGGTATGGAAAATGTCAAAGTACCCGAATTTTGGTGACTGAATAGATGACCGGCCCTCACATGGAGCGTGAACTCTACGTGAATAAAATAATGCCCAACACCTGAGGTGTGAGTATTCGGTCATTCCGTATGTCAACCATTATGTTTGTGTAGCATGGTCCTTTGGGTATATACAAATCAAGGCATAGATGATGGATGTGATTTTGCTAACACTGGTTTCGGACTTAGACTACCTAGGACAGTGAAGATGAATTCGGGGAGCTGTCAAACATTTATTATACGATGCTTGATTGATGGGTGTGATTTTCCTACACTGTTTATAATAATGTTTGTGTACTAGATATGGACATAATCTTAATTTGTAAGGCCTTGCATCTCTTTCGACACATGATAACTCATGTTGTGGACCTCTGACCTCTGCAAACCAATGTGAAATGGGAGTATGCAGACCGCACAACGCATCTACTATATATCTATTGTGTCCTCAAGAAAGACTTAACACCCACAAGAAATTCATATATAAGAATTGGGAAGTTTTTAAAACATCAAGTTGCAATATGTTTCGTTATCTATTCTCTTAAAAAAAAAAAAAAAAAAAGGTTAAACCCTAACCTTAAGGGTCTCCCACGACCCCTGCCCTGGAGCATCGTGAGAGAGTTAAATCGCAGGTTATGCCTCTAAGGATACAGGGTGGAAGGCTGCTTGTACACTTGCACTTACCCAAGAGCCAAATCCATATTTCAGGATTCGAACTCTTGACGCAGCAGTCTCAAGTAAAGCTGAATTTCTCCACCCTCCTCTTTTACCACTTGAAGATGTGCCCTAGGGGCTTGTTATCTATTCTCTTCAATATAGGGCTTGTGTGACACTCTGACAAAATATTGAAATATTTGATTGAAATGTTGATAAAACATGTCACATGAGATGTGCGGTTAAAATTGAGTCTGACAAGTTGAAAAGATGATTAAGTTTTAGCAAACAAGCACTTATAACGATCCTATGGATTCTAAGGTGGATTTTTCTCATTTTTTTTTTTAATATTGGTATTCCAGTCTTCGAACTCACAAAAAAATTCAATTAAAGGGGAAAAGAAAGAACACTTTTGAATCTTGTCCTCTATAAAGGGCCCTTTGGACGGTTGTGTGGGTCGTCAGGGCTTGTCTTTTTTTTACAAATTTCTTGAAAATGCTAATTTGTTAATATATAGGAGTAATTAATAGTACTAATAACATACAACACACCCATGTGATCAAAGTTTAAATTAGATAAGCCTTCTATTTTCTTGTGCAGCTCAGGGTGCTGCTCAAGGCCCCGTATAGGTTAGGGCCTTTCAAATGAAGTTGGCTTAAGATCCTCAAAACCTAAAGGCCGACCATGAATAATACACACACACACAATCGTACAAAAGGGACTTTTATATGAATAATGCTACTTATATACAAACAATTACATAATGGTTTACATTCGTATAAATTGTCAAAAAGAGAGTGCGAAATTTTTTTTTTGGTTAAAAAAAATTCTAATCCAATTATATGTTGGAAAAATAATTAGTTGTTGTAATGTTCAGAACAATAAAATGCAGAAATATAAAACTTATCGTCCGATCGAGTCTCGTGACAGCATGATATCCTAAAGTGAAATTGCCTGTTGATAATTATTGTGACCTCCATAGACAATCACTTCCAGGATACAACAATTGTAAATCACTTGTCTAGCAATCATGAATGGTTATTTCAGAACTCTCAATTGTATACCAGAATATATGTAAAAACCCGAGTATAAGAAATTCAGAATATGAAAAGGAAAGATTGAGGCAAGACAAATTTTCTATTTTTTTTATGTGTGTTTTTTTCAAAACGAGATATGTGTTTATATAGACAAGATGAAAGTAATAGTCTCCACCATGATCAGAGAGTAATGCAAAATTTTAATGACTGAGTAGTGAGTATTTTAATGATTGTGAGTGGGTTGTAACAAAAACAAACGGTCAGAAAATACTGGCTAGTTTTACCCATTAAATAATAATAATAATTATTTTAGTCAAGTAAGCCCAAAAATCCAAGGTCCCAATCAAGACATTTTAATATCTGTGTGGGGAGTGCCTCGAACCCTGGACGTCCCACACAAATGCCACATTTGCCACCACTTTGGCACTTCATCTAATTTGATTATTTCTTTCACATTTTATATTTATACCATAAATATATAACAATCCCCCATATGAAAGAAATAAGATAAATGAAAATATTACTCTGGAGTACGGTAGAAATCATGCAGGCTTAGGTGTCTATCGACTTGAACCTTGGCTTTGTATATTCTATCGAGCTTACTAACTGTAGAATGAACTATGTCTTGAACTCTACAATTATAGTTACAAACTGAGACAATAGAACACACACATGATTTCTAGAACAACCATTGAGTTCTCGCGGTTGTGTTCATTTCGGTCGAGAACTTTCCCAATTTCTTTGAGTGCTCTAGAGAATTCGCCTCAATACTCATAGGAAGCGGCCCCATTTCCACACTCAAATAGGTGCTTCTATCAAGGTTGCACTGTATCTAAACACCCCACTGAATATTAGCTATAGTAAGGATTAAGAGAATTAGCTCATCCTCTAATCAATACAGTTGGTACTACGCATCATAGGGAGGGGTTTGTAATAAATCCAATGTAGTACCCCCATGGACCACTCCAATAACTTTGTTGTCCCATTGAACCTTGACCATGGGATCTCCAATTGTAAGGTTGAGTTTCCGTTATAGGTGATCTAATAAGTAATAGGTTCTAGCCCATCCCCCTTGATGTTTGTTGAATTAGCTCTCTAGCCAATCCTTTGGTTAATGGGTCAACAATATTATCACTTAACTTCACATAGTCAATAGCTATAATCCCATTCTTAAGCAACTGACGCAAAGTACTGTGCCTCCTATGAATATGTCTAGACTTTCCATTGTAGGATGAATTTTGAGCTCTTGAAATAGTTGCTTGACTGTCACAATGTATTGAAATAGTTGGAAATAGTTTAGGCCACAATGGAACATCCATAAGAAAATTTCTTAATCATTCAGCCTCCTCACCTACCTTATCTAAAGCTATGAACTCAGATTTCATAGCAGATCTAGCAATGCAGGTTTGCTTAGTGGATTTCCAGGAGACAGCATCGCCTGCTAATGTAAATACATATCCACTTATAGATTTACTTTCATTAATATCGGAAATCCAATTAGCATCACAATATCCCTAAAGTATAGTAGGGAATTTGGTATAATGTATTCCCCAGTCTAGAGTGTATCTCAAATACCTCAAAACTCGAACGAGAGCATCCCAATGTTCACTGTTAGGATTACTAGTATACCTGCTAAGTCTACCGAAAGCATATGCTATATCAGGTCTTGTACAGTTCATGAGATACATGAGACTTCCGATTACTTTAGCATACTCTAAAGCGGAAACACTAGGACTTGAATGTTTTCTCAAATGACGCCTTGCATCATAAGGTGTTTTAGCAGGAATACAGTTGTATTGATTAAACTTCTTAAGCACCTTTTCTACATAAAGTGATTGAGTCAAAATAATTCTTTCAGAATGTTTTACTATTTTGATTTCTAGAATAATATCAACAACACCCAAATCTTTCATTTCAAAGTACTTGTTCAGAAACTGTTTAGTTTTATTAACCACATCTAAACTAATTCCTATAATCAGCATATCATCAACATATAAGCAAATTATCACACCACAATTATTTTCAAATTTGCTATATATGCATTTATCTGCTTCATTTATCACATAATCACTTGATGTCAAAACTGTATCAAATTTTTCGTGCCATTGCTTAGGAGCTTGTTTAAGGCCATAAAGAGATTTTTTAAGTCTACACACTTTATCCTCAAGGCCTTCTACAACAAATCTTTCAGGCTGATCCATATAAATCCCCATTTATAAGTCTCCATTTAAAAATGCAATTTTGACATCCATTTGATGTATAATAAGATCATACAGTGAGTCAATTGCAATTAACATCCTAATAGAGGTAATCCTAGTAATGTGTGAATAAATATCAAAGAAGTCAACTCCTTTTTGTCTATAGCCTTTAGCTACAAGTCTTGCTTTAAACTTATCAATTAAACCATCAGGTTTAAGTTTTTTCTTAAACAACCATTTACACCCAATTATCTTACATCCTTGAGGTAAGACCACTAACTCCCAAGTATTATTAGACATAATTGAATCATATTCACTATTTACAACTTCCTTCCAAACTATAGAATCTGGTGAAGACATAGCTTCACCAAAAATACTATGATCATAAAGGAATTTTTAAAGTCTACATACTTTATCCTCAAAGCCTTCTACAACAAATCTTTCAGGCTGATCCATATAAATCTCCCCTTCTAAGTCTCCATTTAAAAATGCAGTTTTAACAT